ATTGTTTTTCATTTATTGATACAAATTCAAAGTCAATTTTGTGATAAGTATATTTCTCCTCTTGACTAAGTATTGTACTTATACTGTTCTTTTAAAATGTAATGCATAATTAAATGCAGACAATAGATAGTTACTTATAATAGTTAGAATTTATAGTTAGGTAAGTTAGGTTTTCTAGATATACAAAAATATATTTGAGATGGACAGTCTTCAAACCTCTCAAAGACCTTCAGAACATGGCATTTAAAATGGTTTAGGGTTTTTCTTGACAATGAGAAATGTCTGCTCCTGGCAGCACCAATTATGTCTGAGAGGAAAATGGGCATCGAAGAAACTCATTATGGAGTTTGCTTTCAACATGGCAAGATTAGCCATTTGGGCAAGAAACTGCTATTGCCTAGACTGACTGTTGCTGTATAAACTGGACATGCAGGACCCACAGGAAAGTGAATGCTGAACTCAGTCTTACAGGGTTCCTGCTTCATGGAAGAGTCCGCGAGACTTTCTGAGGACAAAGAAAAATGACGGACAGACTGCCAACGCAGATGGACAGTTTGAAATTTCCTGCTTTGCTGAGAAGTGTTCCAGACACATTGTGGCCTATGGGCTGAAGATGGATGCCCCAACGTTACAGAGGAACTTCGGGTGACTGTCCAGGCAGTAAGATGTCTCTGTCAATCCTAGTGTTTATATATTATCCTTCTGTGGTCTTTGATGGAGTTGAAGACAGATAGTTATAATTATAGTTTTCCTTAGTTATGATAAAAGATAAGCTACATATAGGACTTTGGACTCACAAGGATGGGATGGATGATATTTTCTTTAAATCTTGCTAAAATATTGTAACTATGTTCTTATTTGATAACTGTTCTGTTATATACAATTTGGCTGTGTTAAAGTTAAGACCTTTCTTTTTGTTTAAACAGAAAAGAGGAGATGTTGGGGAAGTCTTATGCTAATAAAGCACTGTCTGGCCAATAGAAAACCTAGATAGGAGGGGCTAGGAATCCAGGAGGATTCTGGGTAGGAGAAACACAAGAGAGTCGAGATGTAACCGCGATTGGGATAGGAAGCCTGGAACAATTCTCCGGTAAGAGACATACTTAGATTAACAATTATGGGGTAATTACTTAAGTCAGAGCTAGCCAGTTAGAAACAAGCAAGGCCAACAGCTTCATAATTAATATAGCCTCCTGTGTGTTTATTTGGGACTCATGCGGATCTAGAACCAGGCTGGCGTGGCAGAGCCCAGGCGACTGGCGGGGGATAAACCAAAGCGGATAGCAAAAGAAAAAGCTTCTCTTAACAATAAGAGTCTCCACAGCACTGGCAGGGGCTCCGGTGGTCATTGCCAGTAATCTAGAGAAAGATCAATGGCAAGATGCTGGTTTGGAAAGAACTTGACTGACTATGGCTACAGGGGGCCTGGAATCTGAGAAATGTAGTTGTCTCTGAGGAGAGTTTGCACCATAAGTGTCATCACCCATGTCTGTGACGTCATTGTCGATGCAAACAGCACAGTCCTTGCACTAGTTACTTCTCTGTGGCTGTACTAAAATGCCATGACCAAAAGCAACTTACTGTTTTGGCTTGTGGTTGCAGAAGAAAGTCCACTATGGTGGGAGGCATGGCAGCAGAAAGCTGGAGCAGGAAACCGCTGACCACATGTCTGTCAACACTCGGGAACCAAAGAAAACGAACTTTGAGAGGAAGCTACAGAATCTCAAAGCTCGCTCCTGTGATGCACTTCCTCTGGCCAGGCTCCCACTCTCAAAGTAACTCTCCTGTAACCTCCTTAAGCAGTACCACCAACCAAGGCCAAGTGTTGAGATACATGAACCTATGGTTAAAAACTTTCATTCAAAACACCACAGCCCTGTACAATGTAATGGAGTGTTGGGACGGTATTAGTGTGGTTACAAAAGAAATAAAGACAGATAATACCTAGATGAGGAGCTTGTTCATGGGGTGATGACTCAGTTCACACTGGCCCCAAAAGAAGGTCACCAAGGAAGCTGCTCACACTGTGCCAGGATCTGAAACCAATCAGCATCAAAGCAAAACATCTGGGTGAGCTAGAATATTCACGCATGACATGAGTTTTCAACATCTGTTGGCACGTCTTATTACATGGCTTCTGAACAAATGAGCCTTATGTTATTATTATGAGAAATAAAATATCTGGTCCCTGGGTTGTTTGGTGTATCTGTATGTGCACTGATGTCTCCATTGAACAGCTTTTAGCCAGAAAGGACTAGATAGGATAATCTGAGGAAACAGATCCAGGTGAATTCCATGCTGTGGCTTTGACAAAGTGAGTGGCATTACCATGGAGATGTTAAAAAGAAAGGGTTTCCCTGGACTGCCTGCTGAAAAAAAAGTCTTGAGTTGTTTGATAGTTTGATTGGTAGTAGAAGAACAAAGAGGAAACCTTGGGAGGTTATATTACGACCAACGAAGCTCCATTTTATGTTAGGCATACTTCTTGGTACCCACCATCCATTTATCTCTGAATTCAGTCCCTGGAAGGTAATTCCCAGTAACCCTGAACTCAGTGACACCCCCCCACCCAGAAATGTACAAGCTTTTTTTTCTGTAACTTGCTTATACCCAATGATTGTTTTGAGTTGCCTTAACTACTTTACTTACCAGAACAGAATAGCTTTTACTTGCTTGCGCAGATAATGAAGGTTTTCATGTGGTTTTCTCCTTTAAAAGTCTTTCCCCACACCCCTACTTCATGGCAATCTCAAATTTGACTCAAAGAGCATTCATCCTGCTAGCTGATCAATAAATCTTTTCATTATACTTGGGTTGAGTGTATGGTCTTTTCCCAGGGGTCACGAACTCCATAACAGGCAACTCCCTACAGTGTTGCAGGTTTCCAGGCCTGGGCTGAGGAGCCTGACACTGAGGAGATGCAGTTGTGGAGGCAAAAACAGCCAGCAAAGCCAAAGGAGACAGTCTCAAGCAGAAGAGACATGACATTCAGGAGAGACCAGACATGGTTTTAATGTTTAATTATGTATATGCAAGGTGTTCCTTTGGAACCATGAGTGCAGGTGCCCACAGAAGCCAAAAAACAGTATCTGACTGCCTGAGGCCAGATACAGGTGGTTATAAGCCGTCCAACATGATGGGTGCTGGGAACTGAACCCAGGATCCCTGCTAGGGCAACAAATCCTCCTAACTGCTAAGCCATCTCTCCTGCCTCAGACCAGAGCTCTTTGGCCCCCCATCCTCAATAATTAAGAAGGAGGTTCATTCTGGTGTGTAAAGTAGAGAAGATGGTGTGGGATGAGAATGCAGAGAGGCCTCTCACTTCCAATCCAAGTGCAAGGACTAAAGAGGCCACTTGCTGTCCAGCTGCACACTCATGAGGTCAGATATTGGAGGACAAAGCAAAACAAAATCTAAGTGGACAGCTCCTGTGCACTAGGCTGGGGGGAGGGGAAGCTGGTATATTAGTCCAGATTCACTAAAGTAACAAATCCAACAGTGTGAGATGATGTGTTATGAAGGGGATTTATTAGATTGCAGAGGTCCAGACCTCTGCACACCAGAGAGACTGGGGACCCTGTACCAGCTCAGTCCACAAGACTGGATGCCTCCAGTCCCAATCTGGCATAGAAGAACAGGAGCATGCCCAGACGGTCACTGGTCTTCAGTCATCTTAGAAAGGTAAAGAAGCTGTGTTATATGATGGTAACGGATAGCAACAGTAGCAAAGCAGAGTCAGCAAGACAAGTCAAACAGCTCTGCTTTTTCTAGGATCTCTTTGTGTCTGGTGGTCGCCTGATGAGCCTCCCACTCAGGGAGAGTGGCGCAGTGGTTATGAGTGCTTGCTACTCAGTCCTACAGGCAGGAGTTCAGATCCTAGCACCCATGTGGAGAAGCTCCCAAACCTCTGTAACTTCAGCTCTGAGCACTTTGATGCCCTCTTCTGGTCTCTGTGGGTATTCAAACACACACGTGTGCATGCATGCACACAGACACATATGCGCAGACTTGTGTAAACACGTGCATAGATGAAATAATATACAAACATGCATGCTCGTGTGATTATGTATATCGCGTGTGTTCATGTGCAGGAGGAAAAGCATGGGGCATCAGATTCACTGGACTAGAGTTATGGGATGGATGCCAGGATCCAAATCTACGTCCTCTGAAAGAATGGCAAACACTCCTAACCAGTAAGCTCTCTCTCCAACCCAAACGAATCTTTATTAGAAGTGGGAGGCATGATGGATGTGGAAGCAAAGAGTAAGCAAATTAGAGGAGGCCATCTTCCTCTCTCAGGACACTGATTAGGAGAAAGACCGCGTGTGAATGTCTCCCTGTCCTTCAACCTCACCCTCCAGCCCCAGTTCTCACTGTAAAAGCTCATCTCCAAGTGTGGGGCTCTGAGGACCTGGCATGTGTGCAAGTCTGCCATTGTTTGCATGGCATTATTATCCAGCGAGTTGACTTCTGCCCTGTCCTCTCTGGGTCACGTGACCTAACCGAACCTCAGTTTTTCTCCTCAGGAAACAAGCAGCATCCCTACCAGGAATCTGGTGAGGACCCATAGGGCACCTAACCATCATGCATGAGGGACTTAGAAAACAGCACATAAGAATGCGTGCCCACATACACATGTGCACAGAATTAAGAGATAGTTCAGAGATGAGAAGGCCACATATAGTGTGTGACAAAAAAAATGCCAAATAGGGAAAAAGAACAAGACCAGGGAAGGACATGGAATGAGAGCTAAGAATGAAGTTCCTGATGAGGCGCCTCTGGCTGCTCCGCTCCATACCAAGCCTGATCTTCCTGCCACTCATGAACATGGATCTCCAACTTAAGCCTCATGCATGGGACCATGAAGTCTTTAATAGCATGCCATCTCAAGTTGTCTTGTTCAACTTGTGAACCAAACAGCTGACTCACCTGATGGAGTGATTGTTAATTATTTACTTTGCAGAACCCTGAAAGACACTACCAGATTGCAGAATCTGGAATTATCTAGAAGCGCATCATTTAATCTCACGTTTCCTGAGTCTTGTTCTATAAAAGAGTCAGTCAGCTGCTCAACAGAGGCCGAAAGGAGAGGAGCTCAGGAGAGCCCCAGAGGCCTGAAGAATTCAGGTGAGACCTGCCCCTTCCTCTGCTCCACAGACGCTCTGGGTAACAGGAGGTCATGTCCCTCACTGCTGCCATATTGGGCCATCACTCCCTGGGGACTAACAATAATGAAAAGACAGTACCAGCCTTACCAGGGGCAAGGACCAGCCACTCACTCATCTTTCTGAGAGAGCACTGTTGATAGGCAGTGAGCTCTCTAAATGCCCTAACCTAAGTGAATGCTCTAGGGAAGAAATTTCAACTTGAGGTTACCATCACAGTTGGCATGCTGTCTCTGGTCATGTGACCTTGGATATTCTGTAGCTCTTGATGGTACCCACAAACCATCATGACCTAAACACAGACCAAATTTTTATCCCTTGTCAGAGATGATGGCGAGGCAGTTCAGATCTTCAGCCTCTGTCATCTGAAGAGCAGGGGTGAGGGCAATGAGTCAGGCCACCACAGTCACATCCCTGGCCCCAGAGTAAATCTAACAGTCACTTAACTATACAGAAGCTTCTGGGTCAGGCACACTTGACTTCTGCTCCTCTCACTACTGCAGCTTGTCACCTTGGGGGAGACCGCCTTGAGTGACTAGGCCTCTGCTTCAACCGTGAAATAGGGTTGTCCATCTGAGGATGTGGTGACAATGAAGTTGGTGACTGAATGCATCAGCCTGTGGCGTGGGACAGACTACTCTATGGCAGTGTTAGCTATTGTTGCTAGTTATCACCTGCTGGGGTTCAGGGGAGGAAAGAAACCCCAGAACCCCAGTCAGGGCTGGCAGTGGGAGAGTCCCCTGCTGTCCATACCACAACAGACTTGTCATTCTTTCCACAGGTACCAAGAGATGTTTCTAGTTGGGAGCCTCGTTGTCCTTTGTGGGCTGCTGGCCCAGAGCTTGGCCCAGCTGGCAGGGGTGCCCTTGCCACTAAACTATGGCCTGCCCATGTCCGTGGGTCACTGCCGGCCCTTGCACCTGGGCCAGAGCCAGCCCTATGGGATGACCCCAGTCATATCCACATATCCTACAGAACATCTTGCTAGAAACTTCAGAGATGGTAAGTGAATTTGTACAGTCTCTTTCAGGGGTGTGTGTGTGTGTGTGTGTGTGTGTGTGTGTGTGTGTGTTTGCACATGTGTCCTAAGAAGGGAATCATTAGTGAGAAAGTAGGTCTAAGGCTCTAGAACAGTGACTCTCAACCTCCCTACTGCTTCAGCCTTTTAATACTGTTCCTCATGCTGTGGTGATGCCCAACATAAAATCATTTTCGTTGCTACCTCATAGCACTAATTTTGCTACTGTTATGAATCATAATGAACTACCTATGCTTTCCACTGGTCTTAGCAGACTTGGGAAAGGGTCATTTAACCCCCAAAGGGATTGCAACCCACACATTGAAAACTGCTGCTCTAGAGTTAGCAGATGAGAACCCTGAGAGTCTCCACTTTGCAGGTTTCAGACAAGGCCTGTTGTCTGGGGGGATTCTGGGATTTCTGGAACACATGCCTCTTCTGAGCTATGTGAGACCTGCAGGAAGCAATGCTGGTGGTCTGGTCGGAATGCTTGGAAAAGTGATTTCATCAATCCCTCTCCTGAACAACATCCTGGAGTGAGTTGCCCAAAAGAGGGAAGAGGGATTTGGTTCCCAATAACAACTGAAGATCTGCCAGTCCCAGGCAGCATCCCTACAGAGGGAGAGGGGTGGGCTGAGAATGCAGCCAAGACTCAGTCCCAGGCCTCTCTCCGCTCTACCAGCAACAGTGGCCCTTTGACCTGTACTTGCCCCCAGCCCTAAAGCATATCCTGAGCCCCAGCAGCAGCTATTATCTCCATGGCAACATTTCCATGTCAGCTCCAATATCCCCAGTTCCCAGATGAAAAAACTGAGGCACGGAGATGTACCTGTGCTCACATAGCTAGGATGATGCAGAGTGAGGAATCTCACTCAGAGAAGCCCCAAGCTGGGGCCTTTTCCACCCCCTGCTCATCCCATCTAGGGAATGTCAGCTGTCACTAAGCTACCCTCCTCAGCCCTATCACCTAAGCGATGTCACTGAGACCTGATGTGGTGCTTCCCATGAGCCACTTGAGAGCTTCCTAGGCACAAAGTCACAATGGGGAGGGAAAATACCTGGCACCATGGACGGCTCATGGGAAACTCCCTCCCACCCTCTCTAAATTCTTCCCAACTTCCTGCCTCCTAAAGGTCATGCCAGGTTGTGTCATTTTCATTGACAGTGTACCCAGCCATGAATCCATCCTTCCTTCCTTTCATCTAACCACTCCCTCTTCAATCCACCCTTCCCTAGATCCAATGACTCATCTTCCTGCCCAGTTAAAACGTCAGCATCTTTCTTTGAAGGGCTCCAAACTAGCATACCCAGTCCCGTTCCTCAAATACCTTCTAAGTTTTGGGTAAACAGAGGATGGGGTATGTCAGGATCTGATCCAGAAGAAAGTTGGAAATGATAGGGCCATGGCTCAGAACCCAGGAAGGTTCTGACTCCAAGACCATCCTGAACCCAGGTGGCCCACTCTCTTTTCATGATGAGTAAATTTAGTAGTTCCCTGGCTTGAGGCTTAGCATGCTAATGTTTCTCCCTGACCAGCATAAGAGTCACTAATCCCCAGCTGCTGGAGATTGGTCTTGTGCAGAGCTATGACTTCCACCGCCTCTATGTCACGATTCCTCTGGGCTTTGAACTCAAAGTGAACACGTGAGTAGGTGCCAAGGCGGTGGTGGTGGGAGGATGGATCATGAAAGGACAGCCTGGTGGCTACAGAAAGGCCTGAGCCTTGAACCTTACCTATTTGATGTGTTAAACAAACTGGGCCATGTGGAAAACATACAACCTCTCTGAACCTTGGTTTCCCCTAATGGGAACAGAGATCAGTACCACTGTGACAAAATGGAATAAGGGGAGGTTGGCACTCCTGCCAAGAAGAAACCCTCCACCTTGGAAAGGGAGAGCCATGTGCCTTTAGAGCTGTCTCTGCCTTCTCTGCCAGACTCGTGGTTGGAAGTTTGGTGGAGCTGGCTGTGAAGCTGGATGTTACTGCAGAAGTCTATGGTGTGAGAGACATTTATGGGAGGAGCCGCCTGGTCATTGGTGACTGCATTCACTCTCCTGGCAGCTTGCGTATCACCCTGCTTAATGGGTAAGTCCAAAGGGCTGTCTTCTCCTGCCCAGGGATAGCAGGGTAAAATGATGGAACAAAGAGAAGATGAATGAATAACAGGACAGGAAGAAAGATGTGTTGGGGGAGGAAGTGCGGATGGGTGGGTGGTGATGGATTGATAGGTGGATGTATGGATAGATAGAAGCATGTTTAGATGGATAGATAGTAAGACCTTTGATGGGTAGGGACACTGATATATAGGCAGATGTATGAACAGATGAGCAAATGGATGAATAAATGCTCACTTTTCCCTCATTAAACCAAGATGGTCAATTTTACATTGCATAGGCATTATAAAATATGCTTTAAGACCACCTTTTATAACCTGATCTGGAGAGCCTGTGACATGAACCTGGCCAAGATTCCTCCAATTTGGTCTCACCTCGCTTATCTACAACACAAACTACGTGAGACTGTTAATAGAATCCTTCTAAGAGGTAAATAGATGTAGCACCTATTTGCCTGCTTGTTCCAGTTGCCTGCCACATGGGAAGCCCAGTGTATAGGACCTGGCCACACCATGGCTCACATTTGATTAATACATATATTGGGCTTTGTGTGTATCATTCATTGAATCACCATGACAACTACAAACTAAGTACTTTCCGCGCATTCATGGATTCCTCAGTCTTGTTGTGCACCTACTATGTCCCTGAAGCATGTGTTTATTCTACACTCATCTCTGTGTGCGTGGCTGGACTAGGTGTATCTCTCTTCATCTAGGATCCTTGCTGATAAATCTGCTGTAGACATGAGTGTGCAAGGCCTGGTCTCTGTTAGTAGGTGCTAAGACTGACCATGCACAGTGGTGCTGAACTTCTCCAGGGCAACCCCAATCCTCTGGGTCACGCCCATGCCTTTCTCTTTCAGGCTCAGTCCCCTCCAAAACCTGATAGACAGCCTCACAGACATCTTGACTAGAATCATTCCTGGCCTGGTGCAGGGTGTGGTAAGAGATCAAAGGGACAGTCCCCTGCTCCAGGGGTCTTTGAGCTTCTCAGGCTAAGCCAAATGGAGCTACTCTGTATGGGAATTATCTATCTATCCTTCAGTTCATCTGTCCTGTGGTCCAGCCATCCATGTTCTTTCTACCACTCCAAACATTGGTTGACTTCTTCTGGGCTATAGAAAGCACTCCTGATATATTTTACCTTGGACATGCTACTTCGCCAAGGGTTTCCTTGCAGGAGGTCCTCTATCTAACTTCTCCCTCTGCCCTGGGTCAGGTGTGTCCTCTGGTCAATGGGATTCTCAGCCTCTTAGATGTCACCCTGGTGCATGATGTTGCTGGTAAGTATTGTTTCCAAGTTTTGTCCCTACACACCATGGGACAGTCAGGTCTCATTGGCCACACACTCCTAGTTGGGGGTGTCTTTTTTCCCATGAATGATCCAGATGAGTTTGAGATGAAGTCTGCTTTCTCCTCAGCCTTACCTGAGACAAGCTGGGATGTTTGGAGGGGAAAACTTAGTGCTTCCCAACATATCTGGGTATGGTGAGCATGGCTGGTGCTCCAGAGCCTCAGGAGGCTCTCAGGCTCTTCTCAGACTCCTTCACCTCTGGATCATAACTTCAGTCATTTTTTCTAGACTTGCTGCTGCATGGAGTACAATTTGTCATTAAGGCTTAAACCTTCTAAGAAAGGACCTGCCTCTGCTGAGATGGTAAATTCTGTTCCCATTGTCCAGGATTTGTGGGCTAGCTGCCACCCTCTAGGACAGGGAAGCAAGGCTCTTGAGACAAAAAAATACCCACAGCAACTCTCCTAGCAGCACCACTCTGGGCACTAAGACTTTAATATGTGGAATTTGGGGATGACGTTTAAGTCATAGCAATATCCCGGGAAAAAGACAATGATGGACATAAACACACAGAGATGCATGAAGTCTGTAGAATAATTGACATATGTGGTAAGGGACCAGAACCTCAGCAATACAGCTTCAAAGAGAAGCATGTGTGATCATGGGTGCACATTCAAGCACATAGACATTACAGTCGAACACTCATCCACATGGGAATATACAAACTTACTATCTAAGTCCCCATGAATACACAGACACACACTCATACATGTACACAAGAAGCTATATATACATAGGCTCCGGTCTCAGTATGTTCCTGTCCCTCAGAGTGCCAGTTGATGGTGGAACAGTACCAGTGAGAGTCCCTGACTTCCAGTCTCCCTCCTGATTGAAGTCTTCTCCCTACAGAACCATTCCTTGCTGCTCTGTCGACTTCTTCCTGCCCAGCTTCCCATGGCTCACAGAAGGGAGTCCGTGTCCTGGAAAATGATATGGCCATCTTCTCAAGGGACCTCCTCTTCTCCTCTCTCAGGCTTGATGAATATTCTGTGTACATCACTAAATAAAATGTCTCTACTTCTTCACTGGTATTCCTCCAATCCCTTGAGGCTTTAGAGACTGGAGAAAGCCCTATTGAGGTGGCTACAGCCATACCAAAGAGGAACCTAACGTCACAGAACTGAGTGTTCTTGAACAGCTGAGAACTGGGGTTCAGACAATTGGCCTGCTATCCTTACAAGTATCCACGGAGAAACTGGGAGTGGATAAATACTCAGACATAGATGTTTACATACAGAGAGAGAGAGAGAGAGAGAGAGAGAGAGAGAGAGAGAGAGAGAAAGAGAGAGTTACCACACCAAAAGTGAAGAAGCAGATGGGAGAGATGTTCAAGAGCTGGGCATGGAGGGATGGAGGGAGGGTATGTAAGGACATACTTGGCTCCAGTCTACATCTCTGGCTGGGGATCCACAGTGTCATACACAAGGTATATATTGCTGTGGTAAAACACCATGACCAAGGCCTGAAGACATGACTCAATGGTTAAGAACATTGTTGCTCTGGCAAAGGACCTAGGTTTGATTTGTGGCATCCACGTGATGGCTCACAACCATCTATAACTCCAGTTCCAGAAGACTCGGCTTCTGGGGACACCAGGCACACGCAGGGTACACATATGTACATGTAAGCAAAATATTCATACACATAAATAATTAATAAATAAATAGCTTTTTGAAAACATGACCAAGAGCAACTTGGGAAGGAAAGGGCTTCTTTCACTCCACACCTTATAAATCCATTACTGAAAGGAAGCCATGGAAAGAACTCAAGGGAGGAACCTGGAACCTGGAACTGAAGCAGAAGCCAGGGAGGAGTGCTGCCTACTGAATTGCTCCTCAGTCTTCTTTCTTATCTGCTCCACGACAACCTTCCTAGGCTGGCATCACCCCCAGTGGCCTGGGCCCTCCCACATTAATAACTAATCAAGAAAATGTGCCATTAAGACATTTTCTCAGTTGAGAGTCCCTCTTCCCAAATGACTCTAGCTTGTGTCAAGTTGACATAAAACTAACCATCACAATTGACCCCTCGTCTATTTGACACACAAACACATCACTATTCAACAAAAAGTTTCCTCCTTCATTTTTCCACAAGATGGCATGTTACTGTTAGTATCACAATATAAAACATTCCAACTTTTAAAAGTCTCAGTCTTTAAAAATTCAAATACTCTAAGAGTTCAGTCTCTCTAAAATACCAACATCTCTCAATTTATTTATAAAATAAAAAAAGTTAAACCCTTTCTTACTCCAAGAGGAAAGACCCAGGGCACAGTCACAATCAGATCAAGCAAAACCAAAGTCCAACCATGTAAAGCTCAATATCAGACTTCTGGACTCACTCACAATCTTCTGGCTCCAACGGGTTTGCTACAGGATGAACAGTGCTCCCTGGGGCTCAGGCCAGCTCTGTTCTTGTTGCTGATATCCTTGATGGTCACACCATGTATGGTATTGGCATCTCCAAAATGTTGGCATCTCCAGTCACTTGACTGCACCCTCACTAACAGCCTCTCTTTGGGGACTCTGATCCTTCCACTCAGTGCTAATCCTCAGCTCCTCTCCAAGATCTCTTCATCCCTGGTGCTTCTACTACAGCTGAGGCTTAACCTTCACCAATGGTCTCTTCCAGACTCCCTTCGGGGATGCAAGTCATGCCAAAACAATGACAAGTCTCAATTGTTCTCCATGGTCCCTTTATGCCTTCAAGCCCAGCACCACCTGGAAGACTCTTACACTTCCCAAGTTTGGCTTCCAGAACAGTATTCAGCATTGGCCCCTCTGAACCACAGTTTCCGTGAGATAGCCCTGAGGGAAAACTTTCCAGAAAAAATTTGCTTCATCTCCTTGGAATATAGATGTCTTGAAACAAAAAATGTGTATCATACCCCAGAGAAGTGGAATGAGGCGAGAGCTCCTAAGCAGATTGGGAACATCAGGGGAGGGGAGAGGGAGCCAGGAAAAAGAGAGGAGGATAAGAAGACATGAGAAGAAGGTATGGAGGAGCAGGAAGGCTGAGTCGAGGTAAGAATAGAGGAGAGCAGGATGAGAGATACCATAATAGATGGAGTCATTATAGGCTTGAGGAGAGAGCTGACACTAGTGAGATCTCCAGAGATCTACAAGGATAACACCAACTGGCAAACTAAGCAATAGTGGAGAGACTATATTAATTGCCCCTCCTTGATGGTAAGGTTGATGACTACCTTATATGCCATCCTAGAACCTTTACCTAGTGACTGATGGAAGCAGAGGCAGACACCCACAGCTAAACACTGAAGTAGACTCCTGGAACCCAGTGACAGAGATGAAGGAGTGATGAGCAAAGGGGTCAAGACCATGATGGTGAAACTCACAAAGACAGCTGACCGGATAAGGAGGAGCTCTTGAATCCCAGACTGGTGGATGAGAGGCCAACAGGGAACTGATCCAGACTCCATGAATGTAGTCTCAGTGAGGAGGCCACAGAAACCATTGGGGCCTTGGATAGTAGATCAGTGTTTACTATGGTGTATGAATGAACTTTGGGAGCCCAATCCAAATAGAGGGATGCTCTCTCAGCCTGGATACATGGGGAAGGGCCTAGGTCCTGCCCTGGATGAAATGACAGACTTTGGAGATCCCCCCAAGGAGGGCCTCACCCTCCCTGGGATGTGGGGATTGGGTAGGGGGTTGGGGGGCTGGTGGAGGGACAAAGAAGGAGGGGTGAGAGAGGGACCTGAGATTAACATGTGAAACATTCATGTTTCTAATTTAAATTTAAAAAATTTAAAGGTGGGTATCATTTAGAGGAATGTACGAAATAAAAGAGATAGTGGAGCCTCACCAGCCTCTGTCCTAGACTTCTTAGAGCCCAAGAGATCTTCAGGCCCTTATCAGGCATCGGAGTGAAGTTGTCTCTGTAACCACAAGAGGGAGAAGATGTGCACGCTATTCACCAATGCAGTGGAAAAAATTCATTGTGTGTGTGTGCTCATGCATGTTCCAAATGCATATGTCTCCAAACAACTTCCTAGAGTCCAGTTTTCTCCTTCCACCATGTGGGTCCTAGAGAGTCAATGGGTTCTTATCTCACTCTCCCAGAAGGTAGTGAGCAGACAGCAAAGTATACAAATATGAGATGCTTTTATTGCCGATTCAGGGGTAACAACCTTCAAACTGGTAAAACAACTTAGGTTGCTGTGAGGGACTGAAATGAACCGAGTTGAACTCTCTGTAGCTGATGAGAGGTTACTGCTTTGAAAATGCCACAGCTCAAAGTTCTCTGGGCATCAGATGCCAACCAAGAGCCTTCCCTTGCCAGGCAAGTCTGCGGCTAATTGGCTTCCTCAGGCTTCCTGGGCAGCAGGTCTCTGAAGTGCTAGGCGCTTCCACCTCTAGTGGCTGCAAACTGTTCAGAGGCCAAGGCAGGAGCAAGTTCCCAAGGTTTACAGCCACATGAGCCGGGACTTCACCTCTGAGAGCTCCATCCAGAGCTGTCAAACATTACAGCAGGTCCACGTGGCAGGTGGCTATCTGCTTTTTTCCAGACTGGACCCATTGGCTGTCAAAAGTTGGGGCCTTGAGTGGCAGGGGGCAGTTTCCCCTGTGGCTTCCTTGCCCTCCAGGCTTGAGTTCCAAGCCCACCCACACAGCATCCCTGACTCCACATCCAGCAAGAAGCCTGACACCTGGGGCCATTTCCACCCCCATCATGGCTGATCAAACTCAGGTTAGCCACTGAGCCATCTGGAGTCCAAGAGACCCTTATGGAGCCGGTACCCAGCAGTATTCTGCTGTCCTTCAAAACTCTGTCTCCAAGTGACACGGAGACTCCGTGTCTCTGAAGTCATGGAGCTTTGTGAGCAGCAAAGGTGTCAGTGGTGGAGTCCATGCTGAGCAGGCATGAGGTTCCAACCTCTGTACTAACCCTAGGCTGGTTATTCGCCATCTGTGGATCCAATGAGGGCTATGGCGGCAGAGTTGTTGTTGTTGGTTGGGTAGTAATGATTGGGTGGTGATGGTTCAGCCATGGTGACGCTCCATGCCACCCTGATGGGGGATTATGAAGTGCTCTCCAGCAGACAGCCAGAACAAGAAACTGACTGAGCACATTTCTGTCAACACACAAAACTCAAAAAGAGTGAATTGCAAGTGAGGCAAGGCTGTAAACTCTCAAAGCCCACTGTAATAGAGACATCCCTCCAAAGGAAGCCTGGACCTTCAGCTCCAGTGATGGCTGCCCTTGAAGCCATCTTTGTGAGCGTGTCACGCCAAACATGCACAGACATTTGTGACTTCCCACAACATTGGAATTTATTGAATAATAAATTTATGGACCATATCAGCTCTGTTGACTGCAGTACACCAGGTACTCATGGTTTCTCTTGATCACTGGCCACTGGCAAATCAAGGTATTTTATTCCAATCTCCATTATTAATGTTAACTCTCAGATTATGCTTCACATAGTATTAAATTATATCTGTGTTAGTGTACATATGTAGATTACAGAATGACTGTGAAAGGGTTAAAGTGCTACAGAGGTCAAAGAATTCTAAGACGCCTAACTAAAAGTTGAGGCAGAGAGTTGACCCAAACTCAAAGAGAGTAACTGCAAATGATTAGATAAGACATTATTGAACTAGTTGGAAAGCCGCAGGAGGCCACAGGGCCAAGCCACAGGGCTGAGTCATCATAATGATAGGGCCATGAAGGTAAGATTCAGGACTGGGTTCTGATGGATGGATGGATGTCGGGGACCCCACTAGCCTTAGCAGGGAGATGACCCACAGGAGGTAAAGAAGAAAATTCCAGTCAGTGCCACCTTTGCAGGCACTGAGCCAAAACATCCAGGGTCTGACTTTGTTGTTTATCCCTTTTATATATTTAAGCATAGTAAAATTTTGGGAAGGGGTTTCCACATGACAATTATTACAACAAAGTTTTAGGCATAGCAACATAGAAACTCCCTAGCAATGTAACAAAGCACCTGTGACCTTTACAATGTGTAACAAGAGGTTCTTTGTCCCTGCTGGTCCTGCTGCCCTTCAGCCCCAAATGAACACATAGACGCAATATTAGTTATAAAATTGTTGGCCAGTGACTAGGGCTTCTTTTGGCTAGCTGTCTTAATTATTAGCCCTTAACTACTAATCTAAGTATTTCCACATGTTCTTATCTTACTTAAGAATACCTGGTACGTCCTCTCTTCCCAGGCTCTACATGACAACTCTGGCTGCCTATGTTTCCCAGAATTTTCCTTGTCTCCTAGTCCCACCTATCTTCCTGCCTCACTGACTGAACAGTGTTTTATTCATTAACCAATAAGAGAAACATATATACAGAAGGACTTCCCCCATCAACAATGAGTTCTATTGGCTAATAAACAGTCTCAGGGCTAGGGCCTAGAGGAAGGATCTGTAATAAGAATGGATTCTATTGGTGGAGGATACAAACTACCTAGGTCTCTTTCATAGAAATGGGTTCCATTCACTGAGAAACAAAGCTCAGAATCAGGGTTAGGGCCTAGACAATGCTTGATATATTGCAGGGATTCAGGTGTAGGCTGGCTACTAATACAGGAGCAAAGGATCACCAGATTGTCTGAATTCTGTCACTCTGGCATCCCAAGTGGCCAGGCATCATTCATTTCCTTCCTTTGAAGAACAAAGGCCTGCATGACTGGTTTCCACTGAGTAGTACTCCATTGTGTAAATGTACCACATTTTCTCTATCCACTCTTCAGTTGAGCGGCATCTAGGTTGCTTCCAGGATCAGGCTATTACAATAACGCTGCTATGAACATAGTGACACAGACATCCTTGTATGAATGGGCATCTTTTGGGTATATGCCTAAGAATGGAATTGCTGGGTCTTGTGGTAGATTAATTCCCATTTTCCTGAGGAATCTCCAAACTGATTTCCAAAGTGGCTGCACGAGTTTGCACACCCACCAGCAGTGGAGGAGTGTTCCCCTCTCTCTACATCCTCTCCAGCATAAACTGTCATTGGTATTTTTTATTTTAGCCATTCTGACAGGAGTAAGATAATATCTCAGAGTTGTTTTGATTTACATTTTCCTAATGGCTAAGGATGTTGAGCACTTTCTTAAGTGTCTCTCGGCCATTTTAGACTCCTCTATTGAAAATTCTCTATTTAGTTCTGTACCCTACTTTTTAATTGGATACTTTGATGTTTTGGAGACTTGCTTCTTGAGTGACTCAGCAGTTAAGAGCACTTGATGCTTTTGTAGAGGAGCTGGACCTGGTCCCCAACATCCTCATGATGGTTCCCAGCACCCACAGAGTGGATATATGAGTTGACTCTGCCATGTACCTACCACCCATAGCACAGGGAAGGGCAGACAATCGCACAAAAACACAGGAGTTAGGAAGATCACTATGGGGGCTACACTGTTGAAGGAGCCCAAAATGAGAAGAAGTGTGGGGAGGGAATCTTTAGGGTCCCTTAAGGAGGGGACAGCCAAAGAAATTCCTAAATAGCAGAGGATCCCAGGACACCTCTGTTGGTGGTGGTTCCACTGCCTGCTTAACCCCAAATAAGCACACAAAGACATATTGTTGGACAATGACTAGGGCTTCTTATTTGCTAGCTCTGTCTTAATTATTAACCCATAACTACTAATCTATGTATTTCTACATGGTCTTATCTTACCAGAGAACGCCTGATACATTCTTTCTTCCCCGTCCTTACATGGCGACTGTCTTTGGTGGGCTCTCTCTGCCTACCTTTTCCAGAATTCTCCTCATCCTAGTCCCACATATCTTCCTGCCTCACTGGCCAGACATTGTTTTAGCCATCATCCAATAGGAGAAACATATGCAGAAGGACATCCCCCATCATACCTCTCACTTTAACACTGAACCTCAGTCTCCTTAGCTCTGTCACAAGAATGACCCTTCCTCATAGGGTCTGGTGAGGATTAATACAAGTGTGATGTGTGTTCCTGTGAGAAATGGAGGCAGCAAATGTAGGCACTGTCCCAGTTGCATCTACTGCAGCCATGCATGCTGTCAAATACATCCTGGATCCTACTGAGTGGTGCTCTACGTGCTGGAGACACTGTGACTCCAGTGGTGTCTTCCTCATGAAGTTCACAGTCCAGAGGGCGAGACAATGGCAAAACAAAGTGCCCAGAGCTGCAGGGAGACTCTCTAGAAAGGACCTTCGTGACACTGAGGAGAGTGTGATTTCTTGGTGGGACATCAGTGTCTGCCTAGGTTTTGAGGGTGCGAATATAACTAAGCTGAGCTCTCAGTCTCTCTCTCTGTCTCTCTCTCTGTCTCTCTCTCTCTGTCTCTCTCTGTCTCTCTCTCTCTGTCTCTCTCTGTGTGTGTGTGTGTGTGTGTGTGTGTGTGTGTGTGTGTGTGTGTGTGTGTGTGATCCTCCTGCCTCCAGTTCAAACTCAGGGCTTTGTTCATGTTAGGCAAGTACTCTACCAACTAAGCTAAACCCCCAGATCTTAAGCTGAGTCTTAAAAAAAATGGGACATCTCCAGACCAGTGAGGCAAGAGAAGCTGCAGATGAGAAATCAGCTACATCTGAGCAAAGGAGAACAAACTGCCTGATCACCATAGGAGAGCTATTCACATCGATGTAGGAGAGAAAAGTGTGAAATCAAGACTGGGCAAAGATGGGCTGAACCATAGAGGACTTGAATACTAAGTTAGGAACCAAACCTTCTCCTGAGAATCACAGAGTCAGTGTCAAGGATTCTTGTGTGAAGATGGCATTAGCACACACACAAGAACCGACATTATCAAGTGTTAGTGAATCAATGGACTGACAGAACACTTGTATACTGCAGGCAATAATACAGAGTGATGCCACCACTTTGGAAAGGTTCTGAAAGATTCTTGTATAGCCAATCATGCACTCAGCCCTATAACCCAGCAATTTCACTCCAGGAGAAATGAAACATATTCAAAAATTTACTTGCATAAAACATTTACAGAAAGTATGTCCATGACTGGAAACTGCTCAGGGGGCCATTTGAAGGAAGAATGAATGAGTACATTTTGGCATGTTCATACAATGGGAGATTATGACCCTGTCAAGTGGATAGGCTGTAGCCAAGATGCTATTAAACCATGATCAGTGATAACTCACAGCTGAGCATGACTGAGAGGCACATGTGTGCTTGAAACCATAGAACAGACTATACTAATCTATAACAGAAAGTTAGATCCCATCCCTAAGTCAGTGGGAGCTCAAGTGTTAACACTGGGAAGAGTTACAGGGGACCTTTATGTAGTGATGGTGACACTCTGAATCTTGACAGGAGTGGGGTGGGGGTACAGGGGCATATGTCTTTGTCAACATTGCACAAGCCACACTTTACATACAGTTTTTCTCTGTGTCACTTAACTAATCTGATGTTCTGCAGGATGATGATAAATGTCAACCATGATGTCATGAGAGTGACAGCCATAAGCATTGCATCAGACAGACTTCACAGTTCCCAGGACTGTTTCATCGGTTCCAGAAAGTTCTCTTGTCTAAGGATTGGTACCAGCTATGCCGGGCACTGTTGCCTGACTTAGGGTATATTCCCACCACACTTTATGTCTGTGTGCCTCCTTTTGTCTCTGGAGAGCTTTGATAAAGGCAGCTCATTTTTCAGGCTTATCCCACCCATTCTAAACATTATCCATACAGTGAGTTTAAACCCTCCCAGTCTCCAGTTGCTTTGAGGCCCAAAGCGTGGTGTCAAATTCCACAGCAGGTTCCTGAATTTGATTTCCCCAGGATCAGCTCAGTGGGGTGGCAGAGGTGACTAGTATCAGATGAACCCGGATATTATACAAAGAAAGTCATATGATAGCCGTCTCCAGGCTGAAACCAGACTGTTAACAAATATTGAACTCCAGGCTCTAAAACATTGCCAGAGTACTGAGGGAAAGGGCACAGACAACTGTGACTTCCACTGAAATACCTCAACCAGTACCATAGACAGATAGCAGGGAAGAAAAAACAAGCACAGGCAGGTTTCCATAATGACACAGCAGCACCCGATACACTGCTTGAAAAGGTCTGTAGTAAGTTACTAGGATCAGGCAAGATGGCTCTGGTCACAGTGACAAGAAATCAGTTTGACAGGCTTGAAGTCAGGGAGGCCTGCGAAGAATTAAGGAGGAGACCCGAGGGAAGGCCTGGGCAGCACAGGTAGTAAGTAAATGTATCCAAAGGCACCATTTGTGGAAGATGTGGGGAGACAGAGACAGAGGTGAGCCATGAGCAGAAGTCAGGTCTACTCTAGAGAAATGGACCAGTCTCTGTCGGGAGCCACGGAGAGGGATGAGGGCGGGAGGCAGCACACTGGAAGAGAGCAGGGTGGGACACAGCCAGTCCCCACTTTTCAGTGGTGAACTTGGCTCACCTTTGTCAAGGGCTGAACTCCTGGTTGTCTCTTTCTCCTGGATGACCTGGTGACCAAATGAGAGCAAATGTTAGCACAGAGACCCAACCCTGTGAAGGGAACCACAAGGGAGTTTCCCCCTGAGCACCCCTGCTGGCCCCCAGGAGGTCAGACCCAAGCAAACACCAAGATGTTCAAAGCCTTGGGAGGACTCAGGCTGCAGAACAGGTGAGAGAACTCGCTTCACTTGGGTGTCAGAGACTCTGCCACTGGACACTGCCACCCCAAGGTGAGAGACTCTGGTGCTATGGGCTTGGGATGTCCTCAAAACATCGGTGTTGGATATGTGGGGGAAGGGGTCTGGAATCGATGCTGCTATGGCACTTTGAGGTGGCACTGTGGTACCATCAGGTGGCATTCTGGCACCATCTGGTGGCACTGTGGCACTGTCAGGTGGCATTCTGGCACCGTCGAGTGGCAATAAGCAAGTGATTTTCATTCCTGTTCTCTCAGTCTTTGTGATGATAACTCACAGGAAAGCTGAGCATGGCATTCATGTGTTTTCAACAAGACTCCAGCCAGTCATTAACTCTCCCCTTGGAGAGGAGAGAGCAAGGGCCAGAGTGTGGCTCAGTGGAGGAGTGCTTGCTCAGACCTGGCTTCTGAGTTCAGTCCCCAGCACTGGGGTGGGGGAAGGTTGGTCGCCAGGGGTCAATAGCATGCTTCTTCTTGCAATGAAGATTAGAAAAGCCATTTCATGTCTCTCTCATTAATCCACACTCCATCCACACATGTCCAGGCACCTGTATGGGGCAGCACAGGTGAAAAAAAGCAAAAACAAAGGACTTGGTACCCATCACACCATAAATACCCACTAAGCTTGGTTACTGCCATTGTTGCCATCACTATAACCCTAGTGTAACTTTCTGTTGAAAGAAAGTGACATTATTCACTTTAGAAAGTGAGACACAATTTCCAGTTACGAGGAGAGCATTGAACTTACTCCATTTTTCCAATGCAGGTTCAGGGTTCAAAAATTCATGTTGATAATTAAGAATCTCAGCAGATGGTGGGTGGGTGTCATCTGAGAAGGGTGTGGGCAAGAAAAGATCACCTAAGCTGAACTCAAGAAAGCCAGTAACAGAGAGGAAGGACTGATAATCAAAGGGATTAAGACTGGGCTGGTTTAAACCCCAGAAACAGCTCACCAGACAAAGGTTAACTCTTGAATCCCAGGCATCAGCCTGGGAATCCAGCATGGGACTGATCAAGACCCCCTGAATCTGGGTGTCAGTGAAGAGGCCTAGGTAATCTATTGAGCCTTGGACAGCAGATCAGTACCCATCCCAAGTATACACACGGACTTTGGACTCCCATAGAAAAATGTGAGGTGCACTCTCACCCCGAACTCTTGGGGAAGGGTCTAGGCCCTGCCCTATATGAAATGACAGACTATGGACACCCCCATGGAGGGCCTCACCCTCCCTGGGGGAATGAGGGGGTAACGGGGGGGGGGTTGGGGGGAGGGCACGGGAGGAGGGGAGGGAATGGGAGAGGGACCTGGAACTGACTTGTGAAGCAACCTCGTTTCTTATCTAAATTTAAACTGGAAAAAAAAAAGAATCCTTCCATGATGATCTGTTTTTTGTGTACAATGAAGGATCCTAAGGAAAGTCACTTTCAATATGTTACAATCATTATACAAATCTTAGCATAAAAATAAATAAAATAATTAAAATCATAAAAAAAGAAAAGATTACCTAAACATATGTGTCAGCAGACACCAGCTAAATGACAAGAGTGCAAGTAGTCACACAGACTTGAGTTCAAATCCTGCCTTCCTGTTCTAGCGGCTGTATGACCTCAAATAAGTGTCACTTACCACCTCTATGTCTTCATCTGTGAAATGGGGGTTATAACTAAAGCAGCAGGCTCAGGCCTAGACTGTGGCTAGTGAGTATTCAGAAACAGCAGGGCCAGTCTGTTCTGTATGCCAGATTTCCCTTCTTTCTGTGAGTTAGCAACCCCCAATGTTGCTTGTAAATCCAAATACATGGAAGTTGAACAGGAAGAGGGGTGTGTGTGTGTGTGTGTGTGTGTGTGTGTGTGTGTGTGTGTGTGTGTGTGTGTGTGTTAGGTGTAGTGACCATTCATTTTTCAGTGGGACTAAAACCTCATAGACCTCCACAGTGCCCTGATGGCCTCTCCAGTTGCCTCTTTGTTCTAGTCCCCACACTGAGAATATAGACTACTGTGGTTTTACATCAGTTTTTCCATCTCTAGTTTACTCAGTCCTGCCCAGAAAACCTTAATCCAGAAGAATATGGCCCCTGCAGTGTCCAAGGCATACAGAACTCTGATCACACATAGGGGAGCACCACACATCTGCTGGTTAGCCAACTCAGCTCATAGCTGGATATTTCTCTCTCTCTCTCTCTCTCTCTCTCTCTCTCTCTCTCTCTCTCTCTCTCTCTCTCTCTCTCTCGCGGGCGCGCGCGCGCGCGCTCTGATTTCTAAAGAAACAGGAATTTCAGGGAGGGACACAGTGAAGTCTTAGGCTGCAGCTGCAGTGGCCTCCCTGGGCTTGCCCTAGGCTGCTGGTAAACCCTTCCCTAGCCTGGCCTGGAACAGAGTGGAAGAAAGTCTATTTCCACCATGGCTAACCAGAGGAAAATGAGGCTAACCTCAGTGCTTCCAAACTGAAGCTCTCGATTTGAGAGACTTATCTGCTTATCCTCATCCCAGAGATCCCCCATTTTGTAGGTCCCCAATATGCACAGCCACACCTCTGTGAGTGTTCTTGGAAGTATAGTTTTTCCTTTTCCCAACCATGAACATGCACAGCAATGTCAGCCGGTACAGTAATGATGTCAGAGCTGCTCCGACTGAGTCCCTTGGGGCTGGCTGCAGAGGTAGCATAGCAATTCAGGGAACTTTTGTTCTTGCAGAGTACTGGTGCCTGTGTAGTAGTTGACAGACATGGGTAACTCCAGTTCTAAAGATCCAACGCCCTCTTCTGGTGCCTCCACAGGCACCAGGCATGCATGTAGTTTGTGTATACATAGGCAAAACACTCATACACATAAAACAAATAAAAAAAATTTTAAATAAAAAAATCCTTTCCTGGGCCTAGGCCCTGGTCTAAGCCAACACTTTGAGCTTTCCAAGCCTACATACTTGAAGTGTTACTCAATCAAGGTTAGACATAGCTAGGTACCCAGAGCTGGGACACTGAGCCCTCTGTCAGACCCAGACTATCACAGAGAGGTGAGGCCATGTATCCAGGCCTACATAATCAGGAAGGCTCTCTGCAGGGTCTTAGTTCTCTCCTGGCCTCTGTGGTGCACCTAGAGATAACCACAGGAGGAGGGAGAAAGAACAGAGGAAAAGACACTAGGAGAGGAGAGAGAGGTAGGGAGAGGCATGGACCAGGAAAGACAGGTGTGAGAATGAATGGAAGAGAGAGGAGACAGAGGAAAGTGATAAAGGCTTGGAGAAACCAGACACAGAGGGCAAACTGGGGCAACAGATGGACTACCAGTTCTCAAGGCGTGACACAGGAAATCAGAATCCCACCCAAGGGGGGTTCTGATGCGGATTGTGGCATCCCCGGATGAGCCAAGGGCCCCTACAAGCTGCCCTATGCTTGCCACAGGGTTCACACCAACTCCTAGACTCACTGTTGTGCCCCTGTGGGACCTCACATAAAGTGCCTCCCTCTAGGCTATACCCAGCTATTAGTTATACCTTCTTCCAGCCCAGGGAAAATGTCACCACTTCAGAAGCTGTCTCTGATCTAGCCTCCTCTCAGTGCACCTGCTCCGGAGGCCTCAACAGAGATTCTAGAGACAGTCACTCCCTAGATGGGTGCTAACCTCCATCAGTGCTGATGTCCACTGTGTGTTGCCTTTTGTTCTCACATTGCCTGTGCATCCTACGCTCTCAGGCCCTGACAACAGTCCCCATGCCAACCTCCATGCCAGCATGCCACACTTGACCTGGACTCCTGCAGCAGACATATACATCACACTGCTCCAGGTCCTTAAAGCAACCAGCCTCCATTCTCCTCTGGAAGCATGCTGCCAGTGTGGAAGGAAGCCCCACCACCAACCAAGACCCACCATTGCCTACTGTGACCTTTGAAAGGCCACTTAGTGCCTGCCAGGACCTGACCGTGAGCCTCATCAGGGCAGGGCCCTGATCCTCATTCAAGGCAGAGCTGAGAATGAGCCCGGTTTAGCCATGGTTTGTTTGCATTCAATTTCGTCTATTCCTGCCCTACAAAAGAGAGATTATGCCCAGAAGGTTCCAGAACGGGATTTCCGGGCTGATGTAACTGTGCTTTTGTTGCACTTACCATCGGTGGTGTGGCAACGTTTCGAGCTAACTTGGGGTGGGCAGGGCTATGACTCAGGCCCTGGGAAAGAAGGGCCTTTGTGTGCTCCTTGACCTCTGCCAGCCCCCTTCTACTCTTTTTCAAGTTGTTCAGAGTTTGCTGATCCAAGAAAAATGCATTGTGTAAAAAATATTTAAATCTTAAAATCACCAAGGAGATCAAAAAAGTCGCCTGGGATCATGTCACCAAAAACAAAAAAAAAAAAACAGATGCTATCTCAGGGGACCATATCCTTTCAGAACATTCTCTAGGTTAGTTTCACTTGCCTCAGTCTCCCTGCATTGTTTAGTGACAGCTGCCTGGTGGCTCAGGACTGATCAATCCCCAGTTATTTATGCTAGCCCTGCTTTGGGGCTATTACAAGTAACAACACTGCAGGCAACTTGCTTGCAATCCTTTTCCCAAACTATTGGGAAATTCCCTCAGCCGAGACCTGCGCCCCCACCCCTGGTCCCCACCCCTTCCCCTCACCCCTGCCCCTCACCCTGAATCAAGGGGCTGAACCTGTCTCAGAACACACAGTGGGTGGAGCATCCTACGTGTCTTGAATATCAGCGGGGCTCCCTCTGCTATAGACAGGCTTATACAAAGCTGCCTGACCAAGGGGATCACAGAACCTGCATCTCTATTTTGCATCTGGGGAGACTGAGGCCAAAGATAGGAACCAACTTATCAATCCACTTGAGGCAGTGACAAACTTTGTGTCATCTACAGGTTCCCCATTTCCCTTTCATCCTCTCTTTAGAATTATACAAGGGCAGACGGTCTTTAACAGGGAGGGGGCAGGGGGCAGCAATACAAGGCCTCTGTATTGTTCATGGCAGACATTGCTAATCAATTGTCACATTCTTTTCTGCTAGACCCAGACCCTGAGGACTTCAACAGCCATGACTGGGCTTGGCACAATAGTGAAGGCTCACTGGTGCCAAGAAGAGCCATTGTGTAAAGGCCTTGGGTCTGCTGAGAGCAACTTGAAGTCTTGCTTTGCTTTTCTCCTCTCTTTTGGGCATGAAACAGTTGGCAAGCACTCTGGTTTCCACAAGGTCAACCAGCCAACCCTGCCATGCCACACCCTCTGTTTCTATACAACCACAGCCTTCTCCAGAGAAGCTGCCCCCATTGCAGCTGGACAGGGCGACAGAGCAGGGGACAAAGTCAGAAAGAGCTGGTCTAGTTTCTAGCCCCTGCTTTAGGACTGTGTGAACTCAGACAGGTATCCGCTCTTCTCCTAGACCCCAATTCACCTGGGAAAGGGGGAAGTGGGGTGCTGACATGCTGTTTTCTGCTTCCTGGGTCTACTTGGTGATACAGTAGAGGTTGGTGGTCTTTTCCACCCTGCCTGTTGCTTGGCCTAGGCGATCAGCTTTGACATGACATGGCCCCTCTCCTCCTGTCTTGGATGATTGACCCCTCTTCTCACCCCCTCCCCATCCAGGAATAGAGTACAAGTACGTGGGGAAGAGGGAAGGAAAGTGTGGCCTGACTGTGGCAAGGTGCCCTTGCTCTCTGTGGACAGGATGTGCTTAACACGACTCTCGGGGTACTTTGTGGAAGTTTCCCTAAGCCTCTCTGCTGAGTTTCCCAAGCTACAACTGGTCCAAGGCAGAGCTCCCTGCTGTCCACCCTGCCCGGTGGACCATCCTCTCCAGCCCTCCCTGGTCCTCCTCAGTCCCTGCCTTTCTGGCATCATCTCATCTCCTCTCCAAACCATGACTGTCTAGAACCCTGTCCTGCTGTGCCCACACCAATTTGGATGCCATCCACAACAGTGACACGGCAGTGACTTCCCAAGCCCAAGTCACTCTGCCCTCCACAACTGCAGTCCATCCATCTCTACAGACCTCAGCCGTAAGCTCCCACGTAGTCTCTGAGTCTCCTTCTAGACCCCCTGCTTCTTTCCTGGGAGACCATAGCGGTCCCTTAAGAAATGTCTTCACAGAGATGGACATGGTGGTGCGTGCTTGTAATCCCAGCACCTGGGCGTCAGAGGCAGGAAAATAGAGAGTCCAAGGCCAGCCTGTGGGACATAAGAAAAGGAGGGAGGAAGGAGGGGTTGCGGCAGGAGGATGAAGGTAGGAATGGAGAAGGGGAGTGCGTTCACAATTGCGCGCCTCTCCTTCAATTGCCCTTAATTACCTCTAGCTGGATCAGGGCCTCTGTACGGTGGAACTGAGAGCTGTGCATTTGTTCTTACCTGCTGCCTGCACTGTGGCCTGCATAGCATCTGCAGGGTTAGGGTTAGGGCCTGCAGAGTTGCAGGCCCAGCACACTCTAGTCTTCATATCTGCAATTCTGGTGTGGACACCCACCAGCATATAGCCAGAAGCACCCTGCCCTATCCAGGTGACAAGAAAAGGCCACTCCAAGGAGAGAAGCTGAGACTTAGTAAAGGAGAGGGAGCCAGCCTGGGAGAAGGTTCAGCATGTGCAAAGGCCCTGGGGTGGGAATGAAAGGAAACAAGGGCAACCTGGTGAGAAATGAAGGCTTAGATGAGTAGCCAATCACACTGGGTCTTATAGAGCTTGGTTCTCGTGCAAGACCACTGCAGGCTTTGGTGAGTTTCACCAAGACTTTACAAACTTTACCAAGGGCCACTGGCTGCTGGGGAGAATTGGACTTTCGGTAAGAGGGACTTAAAGGTGGAGACCGGAGACCAAGAGGGGCCTGTATAAGAATAGAGGAGGACAGTGCCGAAGTAGCTCAGTTGGGGGAGCCTTAGACTGAAGAATGGAGGAGGGAGGAAGCAGGGAGATGGCTCAGCGCATACAGTTCCTGCTGTGCAAGCATGTGGACCTGAGTTTGGATCCCAGCACCCACGGAAAAACCGGATACAGCAGCGTGTGTCTGATGTCAGCACTGGCCAGAGCCAGAAACAGGCAGGTTCTGGGTCCTCACTGGCCAACCTGTCTGGTTGAATCAGTGAGCTCCAGGTTCAGTGACAGAGTACCTCAAAACATAAGAGGGAGATGGAGGCTAGAAAGAGGCTCCATAGTTAGAGCATTTGCTGCTCTTCCAGAGGACCTGATTGACTCATAACTGCCTGTAACTGCTCTCGTCTGGCCTCCGTGGGTACCTCCATGCGCGTGACATACATTCACACAGACACAGACACAGACACATAAATAAAAACTAAAAAATCTTTTTAAAGGATAATACAAAGATGGAGAGTACTGGAGGGTATAGCAACAGAAGTAGATAGCTGACATCAACCTCTGGCCTCTGCATACACAGACATGCTCACACACACACACACACACACACACACACACACGTGCACGCACGCGCGCGCACATGCATGCACACACATACATGCACACACACGCACACACACACCACATTCACAGACATGCTCATACACACACACACACACGCACACACACCATATTCACAGATGTGCTCATACACACTCACACCACATTCACAGACGTGCTCATACACACACACACATGTACAACACATTCACAGACATGCTCATACACACACACACATGCACAACACATTCACAGATGTGCTCATACACACACATTCACACACATACCACATTCACAGACGTAGTCTCACACACACATGTGCACACACATGAAATAAATACATAACTTTTAAAAGACTGAAGGAACGCGGGATAATGGAAGGACAGAAGGCAGATAACCATCCTCAAAGCACAGGGTTCATATCTCGGGAGTTGAGTATGGACTTTGAGGACTCACACTGGGGTAAGATGACAGGGACTAGGCTGGGCAGATATTCGCTTCTGGATTTAACCTTGAAGGTGGCTAGTGAAGGCAGCTCTGTAATGGTGGTGGAATTGCCACTCAGTGGGTGACGATACAGGCATTTTCTCCTCAGAAAGGAGTAGTGTTCCACGAGGCCACAGCCATGGCACAGGAAAGAATGAAAGTCATGTCTCAAACTCCAAGGTTTCCTTTTGGCCACCACCACAGAGGATCTTTTCGTATTGCATTTAAAGTTTTTATTTTATTCTATTATATATATACATACATGGGTGTTTTGTCTGCATGCATGTCTGTTCACCAAGTGTGTGTCTGGTGTACAGAGGCCAGAAGAGGACATTGGCTCCCCTGGAACTGCACTTACAAACGGTTGTGAGATGCCATGTGGGTGCTAGGAATTAAACCCAGGTCCTCTGTAAGAGCAGCCAGTGCTCTTAACCACTGAGTCACCTCTCCAGGCCCATAAAGGAGCTTTTATGAGATGTGAGGAGTTCCAGGGAGGAGATGCACACAAAGAAAGCAAGGGTCTGAGAGAAATGAGACCAGAGAAAAGGGTGCAGGGCAGGACCAGATGGGACCAGGTACACAGCCCAAGGGGAGTGCGATGCCTGTTCAATCCTGACAGGCCAAGCCAACAGGCAGGAACCTGGAGCAGATGTGGGCATTGGCCTTGGCACAAGCTCCCCCTCCCCACAGAGGGACATTGTCCCTGAGCAGAAGGCATGGCAACTGGGGAGCCAAGCAGGGGCATGTGTCTCTGCACATGTGCCTGAGGCACTGGCTGGGTGCTTCCGGGAGCCCTTCTGGCTCTGGGGCAGCTTACCTTCGGGGTGTGGGACCTATTGAGTTCCAGACATGGGGCAGGATGCAAACCACGTTTTCCTCCGTGACCAGCCAGGGCCTCTGTGACCTCACAGACACTGCTCCTTTCTTGTCACACTACAGATGGAGACAAGACTCAACAATAGATCTCCTAGTCCTAATCCATAGCTTATCACCTACAGATAGAAGCCAAGACATGTTCCCAGGTGGTATCCAAAGGTCACATCTTCATCCCTACTGACCATCACTAGGCAGTGTGGTTAGAGTGTGTGGCCTGCACTAGGTGCTCAAGTGTCTTCTCTGACACCCTTTGAGCAAATCACTATCCTCTGAGCCTCCAATACTCCTGGGAAAATCACATCAGGAATGTTAACTCCCCCTTGGGTGCTGTGTGGTTAAATGAGACTAGCCTGTGCCTAGGCAGGAGTGACTGGCCAGTTCATACTTGACCCTTGGTCCATAGTCCATCACTCATTATTCTTTCACTCCACAAACATCCACTGCCTTCCTGGCAATGTATGTGAGGCAGAGAAGGGCTCAGGTCATAAAATAACTGAATGAAAGTGACAAGGGCATATGGCCCATAGCTCAGCTGATGCTCTCCCACCCTGATGGACGGCATTGCCATGAACCCCATTGTACCGAGGAGGTTAGAGAGGCCCTGAGAAGTGGGGCACCTTGCCCAGGGGAGCATAGCAAAGAAGTAGCAGAGGTACCCTCTAAGGAAAAGGAGCTTGAGCGTACCCATTTCACAAATGGAAACAGAGAGGCTCAGAATCCCAAGACACTCAGAGGGAAAACGGTGAAGACTTGAACCTGGCCTGTCCCCTAACACATATCCTGTGTACCGAGCTATGGGGATGTCCTCTAAAGCCAGATTTCTGCTTGGAATCCTCACTCTTCTGTTTGCTGACTGTGGCAGCCAGGTCCTGCTCACTATATCAGGATGACTGACTGACCACACCTGAGGATGACACCCATCAACCTACTGATGGAAAACACCAATGATGCCTGCCATGTCAGAGATGCTCATTCATCTCGACTGCTACCATGATCATTATGGTGCTGTAGGAGGCTCAGAGGTCTTTGTGCTCATAAATAAGCACTAGGGGAACCTGGAAACACACAGGGCTATTCCTTCAGGGGAAGGAATGTATAGCCTGCTATCCTTCCAACATGCTGAGAGAGGACATGTTTATTAGCCTGGTGACCTTTGCTCTATCTGTGTGGCTAGAGACATTTTCTGGTACCAGGTACCCCCACCAAGACCCTTATTGTAAATTTGTTTTTCTTGGTCGTCTATAAAACCTATCTTTATGAACTTTATAAGAGTTTCGATGTAGTCACGTCTGATCTATAGTTAGCTTACTCTGTTCCTCAAAGAGTCTTACGCATGCTTTCTTGTGAATGCAAGACTCAGTTATCACTAGAATAAGTTTTCAGCTGCTATTGCTATGCTTAAATATGTCTAAAATAAATTACTCAGGGTCAGACTCTGAGTCAACACCAGCTACTAAGTCATACTGAATGGAACTGAGCTGAACTGAACTGCCTTCTTGCTTCCTGCACATGGCGATTCTGCTGGCTGGGAAGGTTACAGAGAACCCTGCATGGTCCTGTAGCAGTGACTGCCCAGGATGCAAGGAGCCCCTTATGAGGCTCGCTGTTGCCTGAGCCACCTTCCTGCCATAAGCCCCAGTGCTCCCTCTGCCCTCAGCCAGCTCATACCCTCCTTCATCCAAACCTCAGGAAGCTGCAGTTCCTAGACTGCCTCCAGGAAGGGCTCTGGTTCACCAAGAGCTGCAAATATTTGCCTTGGAGACCTCAGCCCAGCCTGAGTTCTTGGCCCACATGCTCAGGAGATTGCAAAATATAAGGCTGGGTCTCCAGACCCATCACCCAGGAGAAGAGGAGATAGACCCAGGACTCCAGCACATCCAGGTAAAGTGTGGGGAGAGTGGAAGCCTGGGCAGTCAAGAATGCTCCTCACAGGGGACACCTGCTGAGGTCAGCCCAACTGCGGAGGGAGGACTGAGGAGCCTGATAATGCCCCTGTTAGGCTTCTGGGCCAAGGGGAGAGGCAGAGAGCTGCTGGTGCTGTCCTCCAAAGCCGTGAGCAAAGATGGAGGCATGAGACCGACTGGCTTCCCCAGCCCTCAGTCTAGGAACTTCAACCCACTTTTCACACACTGGCTGTGCAATGTCTGTGTGCTGAGCTGTTGCTGGGGACCAAGAGAAGCATCAGTCACAGCTCCCAATGAACCATTGCGGGCTTACTGTGTTTAAGGAAGGTCTAGGACCAGAGAGATGGCAGTCAGAGGAGGCTTCCTGGAAGAGGTGGCATGTGGGATGCAAAGCTGAGTGGATGCTAGAAAGGAGCAAAAAGAATCTATGAAGAAGGCAGGGGCTGAGGACCACATGGAGGGTCCATGAAGAGCAGGGATTGAGGACCACATGTTGGTCCATGAAGAAGGCAGGGGCTGAGGACCACGTGTTGGTCCATAAAGAGCAGGGGCTGAGGACCACGTGTTGGTCCCATGAAGAGCAGGGGTTGAGGACCTTATGGTGGGTAGGCACAGGCTGGTGTTTGAGGGAGACAGCGTCTCCCATGAGAAGCAACACTACAGGTCCTGGGTTCAGAACCCTTCTGATCAGAAGGCTCTGCAGTGGGCAGAAGGGGGCAAACAGGGGCCAAAGTGTTTGAAACAAAAAACATGGTTTGAGGGTATGGTTTGCCTTGTCAGCCAATGCAGATTGTCAGCTCTGTCCCCTCGCTTTGACTGTGGCATGGTTTACTCTGGTGCCAGTGTCAGTAGTCACTGAAAACTGTATCCCAAGTTCTTCCTGTGGGAAAAACACCACACTGAATGACTTCTAGATGATACTAACTGTTAATCCCAGAGACTATGAAGTGAAGCTCCATCCCAACCACTCGCCAAAGTAGAACCCTGAGGCACAGAGGTATACGTGCCTTTGCTGATTATTCAAGTGTGCACAAAATAAGCCTTGGCTCTTACCCACTGCCCTGAATGCCTCTACTGGGCATTGTGCCCCAGATGTGGGCCCCTCTGTCCAGCTAGCAAGACCCCTTGTGCTTACCCTAGGCCCTGCTACCTAACACCCATGAAGATGACTGGCCCGTGGATTGTCACCTTCCTGTATGGTTTGCTGGTAGCCACATTGGTCCAAGCTGACCTTCGTCCCCCTGCAGTGCTCAACCTCGGCCCAGAAGTCATCAAGGAACGTAAGTCATGACCTCCTCCACCGAGCCTCACCACCATAAAGCAAGGACAGTACACCAAAAAGGAGGGGAGTTTCTTGTCAAAAGGGTGTGTCAGGCATGGGTGGAGTCCAGGACCTGAGTGAGACACGAATAGTGGTTGAGGTATGAAGTACTAGGATATTATGATCTCAAGAGCCAGTGATGCCAAGATATCATCAAATGATATTATTCCGAAAACCCTGGGGATCTGAGAGCCTTATGACAGGTATGTTGGCTACTGCCTGCCAGGAAGCACCCCATCCTTGTCCTTGTCTCAACTCCCATCAACAGAGTTAAGGCCTAGCATGTTCTTGGCCCCCAAAGCAGAGGTCTGGGCAGAGTCTGATGACCTCAGTCACGCACACAGGCTCATTACTCCAGCTCCATGAGCACACAGGAAGACCTTCCTCCCTGGGCCAACCTGAGATCCCAATACCATAGGAACTGAGGACGTTGCAAGGGCTCTGGGTAGCCCTCTCCCCAGATCCTCTCTGGCATGGGGAACAGTTCTGTGTGCTACAAGACACTTGGAAGTACCTTCCACCCAGGCATGGACACATGTCTCCTGACAATGTGGCAATTACCTGGTGGATAAGCACTGTTCCAAAGGCTGGGGGAGCAGATGACCTACCTGAGGCCCATCCTGTGACTCCTAAGCATGTGACATCCTCAGGGAGCTTGGGGTGAGCAAGCATGGTGTGCAGCCAAGGAGTTATTACCAGTGGTAGTTTGGGGGCAGATTCCCAGGATCCCCTGCAGTAGAGTCAGCAGGCCCACCCAAGCAAGTGACCACTGAGGGCCAGGAGCCACTAGGCAACTGTGTCTGTTAACTCCATCAGAAGATGAAATCCACACACACCATAAACCTTGGGAGGAGTATTTAATGTAAAGAACTACAATGTAGCATCAGAGGGAGGAGGAACTGGCTAAGAGGGAAAAGGGAACTCTAAAGGGCACCCAGCAATGAGGTGGCGCCCAAGCGCAGAACACACTCACAGTCAGAGACCCTTCCCAAGGCCTCCTGGGACTGGGTGTGCCTAAGGCCTGTTGTATGGAAGGAAGCTGGTCAGGGTTGCACTAGGCCAGCACCAGCCTAATGCAGGCAAGCAGAAGCTACAGAGCACACCCTGCCCTCAGCTGGTGATGTCCTTTGGCTGATGCCCCTGGAGGGAGAAGTTGTATCTCCAGAGGACCGTCTCTGCATGAGCCTGGAAGCTTGCCAGAGGCCCTCAGGACTTACTCTCAGCCCTCAGGAGCCCTGTTAACTGGCAATTCAACATCACCTGGGCAGTGACACCACAGGAACTGATAAGAGGCACAGTTCAGGGATTTCCCTTCCATGTCTCCCTCCCCCTCCCCAGAGAACCTATGCTGATGGGGTACTTTTAAGACTGCCAACTGGCAGAGAAAAAATGCTAACGGGTGCAGCCCCATTAGCACAGACTAGGCAAGTGCTCTCTGAGAATGACAGGAGGACTCTGAAACACTGAGCCTGGCCCGGCCCTAGAACACTGTCTATGGAATGGGCTCGGGCCACTGCTGAAAAATCAGAGGGACCAGCCCCGAGGCCCTCATTCCCATGTCTTGCTTTCTCTGCTCAGCACCTAAGGTGCTTTGGACAACAGGACAGACACTGATGGTGCCAGAAGATCGTTAGCAAGTGTGATTTGGCCACAAAACTGTCCCTGATGAGCTACTTGGCACAAGAAGCATTTGGCACTGGCTGGGGAGAGGGAGGACACAGGTCCAGCATCCCAGCCGTGACTGGCAACATTCTGAGTGTAAGGGCTTCCGTTAGCTCAAGGCCACTACCCTCACCTCATGTCAGGTTCAAGGAGTCCTGAGTAATGTCCACCCTTAACGTCCTCTTAACCTCTAATGCCTGGATCTATCTGCAGACCTGACCCAGGCACTGAGGGACCATGATGCTGCTGCCATCCTCCATCAGTTGCCCCTGATCAGTGCCGTGCAGGAGAGGTCTGGGAGCATGCCCCTGCTGAACAGCCTAGCGCGCTCTTTCCTGCGATTCATCATCTGGTGAGTGGCAGTGGACACGGCCGGGAGCCATCTCTTCCCCACACTCTTGCCCAGTTCTCAGTAACAACCATTAGTGAAGATGGGCCAGACTAAGTTCCTCTTTGAAAAGCCCCCAGAATTGCTAGTGGTGACTATAAGGCAGTGTCACTGGTACTTCAAGAGGGCGGCCACATGAGGTAGTAGCCCCAGGTGGGACAGTGCCAGGACCAGGAAATGCTTCTTAGAGGAGGCCATGGCTAAGCCTGAGACACCAAGAAACTGGCATTCCAGGCAAAGGGACCAGTAGGGCAAACCATGGAGGAGCAAGAGTCACTCAGAGTGATTGCATCTCAAACCCCCACAGCAAAGAGTGACAGGCCAGTAGGGTGGGGTCACAGGGGCCTTATGGACAGCTCACCAGGCTAAGGCTAAAAGCCAAGGGACACGCAGAGAGGCAAGCAAGGGGAGAGAGAGGTAGGACCATGATAGAGAGGATTAATAGGCTGGGCTTGGGCTCTGCTCAGCTGTGCAGAAGTCAGGAAAGAGGATGGGAACAGACTTGGGGGTGACACTCATCTGAGCATGAACATGATTTCATCTCCCCTCCACCCTGTCCAGGATGAAGGTCACCTCTGCTAACATCCTCCAGCTGGCCGTGCATCCTTCAAACTATGACCAGGAGCTGATAGTCAGAATCCCCCTGGACATGGTGGCTGGACTCAACACGTGAGTGTCCCCGGAACCCAACACAGCTAACCTAACAGCTTCATCTACTCACTCTCTCCCTCCATGCAGATATCTGGAAACGTGAGAAGAGTTAGTGCAAAGGCAGGAGTGTACTTGCCTTGCTCAAAAATGACAGAGGAAGTGGTGTGGTCAGAGCAGAGATAAGCAAACTGCTGAATCCCGATGATGCAAGGCTTTATGAGCCAAGGCGAGAAGTTGGCTTTTATGGAGTATGGGGGCCGAGATCAACAGAAGGTCAGAGACAGGGAAGAGCTGTGGGGAAAGTGTGGGGCAGAGTGGAGGCAGGGATGCCCCATAGCAGAACTTCAAAGACTCCATAGGAGAGAGTGATGGCATAGGCCACATGAGCAGAGGAGTAGTCAGAGTCTAGCTATGTGGTGGAAGCAGGCAGAAACAGGGGTTCCTGCCGAGTTGAATGTGGAGGGAGAGAAAGATCAAGGATTACTTCAGGGTTTGCTCCCACATCAATCTGGGAGGAGCAGCCAGCAGCCAAGATGACAGAGCTTGAAAGTGGCAGCCCAGGGGATGATGTGGAACCCACTGCTGCCATGCCATCCTGAAGGAACTCAGAGGGCATGAGCGGGGCAGAGTGTGTGGCTTGGAATCCCGTGGCATCCATCATGGGTGAGCTCAGGAGAGGAATCCAGATGTTGGAGGGGCAGACATCCAGCTGTGGCTCCCATGTGGGCTTGAACAGCACTCACTCTCACTGCTGTTGTCTTCACAGGCCACTGGTCAAGACCATGGTGCAGTTCCAAATGAACACTGAGATCCAAGCCCTCATCCGGGTGGAGAAAAGCAAGAGCGGCCCCACCCGCCTCAACCTTAGTGAGTGCTCCAGCAGTTCGAACACCCTGCGCCTCAGCCTGCTGAACAAGTGAGTGCTGGGTTCCATCATGCTGGCAGGAGAAGCAGACTGTGGCCTTGCCCCCTGCTCACATGTACAACACTGAAGGAATGGACATGTGTCCCTCCTGACTCTAGATCTGAGGCTCCTTCCTGAGAATCTGGGATGCCAAAGCTGTTCTGGGTGGCAAAGATGAAAGCAGCAATGGTGGCATGATACCAGAATGGGAGGGCGGGTGTAGGGGTGAGTGTAGTGGTAGAGGTATGAGCCGGGGTAGGGGTGGGTGGGGTGGGCATGGGGCAAGCACCTGCAGACAGAGCAGAGCTTCCATCCAGGGCTCCCAGGCCACCCAAAGCATGCTTACCTTCTTCCTTGACTATCTGGGTGATGTTGAGCAAGTCACCTGCCTGTGTCTCACTTTCCTGGTCTGAAAAAGGCTGCTCCTGGCACTTTCTAAGCAGCAAGAACGACCTACTCATAAGAGCGCATGTCAGATCTCAGGGGACCTGTCAGTTCCAGCACCCTGATGTCAGCACAGATCTGTAAAGACAATAACCAGGCCAACGTCTGCCTTCAGCTCAGCCTCTTCCACAGTCTTGGCTAACACCCTGGGTAAACTTGAGCAAACTCCTTCCTCCCAAGATTCCATGTCACTTCTACCAAGCAGGAACAATTATCTCTTATAAACTTCCTAATTCCCCATTCTCCTTTACCAAAGGCTTTCCTTCACGCTCAACTCCTTGGCAAATAATGTCATGAATCTCCTGGTGCCAGCCCTGCCCCAAATGGTGAAAAACCACGTGAGTAAAATCAGGCCTCTGGCCTGTGGAGATGGCACCCCCTGTAGGATTAGGGTGGAACTGCAAGTTGATGCCAAATGAGTTAGGTCTCTTTGGGTGGGATCCTTCTGGGACTGAATAACTCCTTCAACAAAGCAAAGAACCACTAAGCCAATGAACTGAGTCACTGAGCCAGCAAGATCATTGAGGTCAATGTAACAGGACAGCCAAAAGGCCAGGAGGCTTTGGTAGGTAGTGTACTGATCAAACTTTTAACACTTGTCTACAAGGGTTGAGGGAGGGAACACTACCTGTAGCTTTTGCTGACTTCCCAGTTATAAATCCTACCTCCAGGCTGACTTTACTATTAAAGTGATGTCATGGAGCCGAACTGGAAGAAGGTGCCCTCTCCTGTGTAGTACTGCCACCAGACAGACAGTAGGCAGTACCTCAAGAGCGACAGGCGACAGTGATGCTGAGCAAAATACCTAGGGAGGGAGATGTTTTCTGACTTTGTTAAATTTATTTTAGTATGTTTTTATGTAAGCCTATATACTTTACTTTTAACAACTAAGCTGGAAATCCCTGAACATCCAGCATTTAGTCCTGGAATACTGTCATAAGCAAGCTGTAGCCCCTGCTCAGCCGCTCAGGTGTGGTTTGTAGGCACTGCAGCCCGCCAGATCAGTTGCATTTATTTCTTCTGTGTCAGTAAACTCAGGCTCTCTCTCTCTCTCTCTCTCTCTCTCTCTCTCTCTCTCTCTGTGTGTGTGTGTGTGTGTGTGTGTGTGTGTGTGTGTGTGTGACAGAACCCAGGGTTTCACACCTGCTAGGCAAGTGTTATACAACAGCAGGCACCAGAAACCCCAGTGTCTCGTTTTATATGTCCCTCACATGCCACAGGTAAACGAAAATGTCGTAAGAGGATCCATTCATATTTACCTGTGATTTCCATTGTAAATTTAAGACACATTCACTTCAATAGTTACCCAGAGGGCTCAGAGCCCCTTGTCAAGCAGTTGTCATTTCTTAACCATAAGCCTACCAGATGCCATTAGTCTCATTAATATTACGATAAGGTTTTAATGAAAAAGATGGCATAATAGCTAACACGAGTCAGGGAGGAGACATTCATAACGTGTCCAATCCAGCAGCTGCTGACCAATTACACATCTCCAGCTCCACCCACAGGCCCTCAGGTTTTTATGTGACTGCCCCTAGTGTTCTACGTCCTCGTCTAACTTTTATAACTGTTATGATAGCTGGGTCACATTTAATTGTGTGTCAAGATATCTTTTTAAATAAAATGGTTGTATTGATTACTTCAAAACAATAGTGATATTTAAAACAATATTTTATATGTGTGATGGGATTTTATTTAAAACAATGGCATGTCAGTTTCCCTCCAAACTGTTCAAAATTGTATCAAATCCTACTAAATCACCTTTAAGAAAAATTCAGTGTGGCATCTTTTAATCATGGTATACTGTACAATACCAAATTGTGTTTGGTTTTGTTTTTTATTATTATTATTCATTTTTGATAAATCTTCAACCCCTGTTTTTATGTTGTGAAACAGTCTACTGAATCTGCTCTTAGTAGACTAAATGTCTACATGTTACAAAGAGCAAAGAAAAACAATTAACAAAAACCTGAGGACTAAGAATGCAACTTTCGATAAAGCACTTGCTTAGCATGCAAGAGGCCCAGCACAAAAAAAAAGAAAGAAAAAAGAATCTCAACTGATATTTTATTTTACTGTAAAGATCCAGTTTATTCTTTATCTTGTGTATATGTATGTGTATGGGAGAGGGATTATATTCTACATACATAGGTGCCCACTGAGGCCAGAAGTATCTGATCCCTGGAGCTGGAATTGCAGGCAGGTTTGAGCACCTGGAGTGGGTACTGTGAACTGAATTTGGGTCCTCTGGAAGAGTAACGCACACTCTTAGCTGCTGAGCCATCTCTCCAGGCCCCTGGATCTCATATTTTATAGTGTTACTCTAAAAAACATTACTGGCCAGTCTGGAATAGGCTTGTAATCCTAGCTTCTTGGGAGGCTAAGAGAGAAGGACAAAGGCTCAATGCTTGCCTGTGCTATAGAGCCTGGGCAGGCCTGGGCAACTTGGCAAGATACTTCCTCAAAATTGAAAATAAACCAAAAGGGGTGGAGATGTAGCTCAGTGTAGAGAGAGCACTTGCTGAGCATGTGTGAGGCCTGGGATCAATCCTCAGGGAGGGAAGAAGGGAAAAGTGGGTAGAGAGGGAAGGAGGGGGAGGGAGGAAATGAGGGAGGGAAGTAGGAAGGGAAGGAAAGGGAGGGAAGGAAGGGGAGGGGGAGGGACCAAACTTCCTGGTTCTTCTTGAAAGAGGGGAGGTTGGAGAGAGGTAGGAATTGGGAATATAAGTAGATATATGTGACTTCCAGTTCAAGCCAACTGTTTGCTGTTACTAGAATTGTAACCCCTAGAATTAGTTGAGGTGCATATCCAGAAAGATATCTTTAAAGGGAAAAGAAATCACTTTGTTAAATGATCTTGTCTCACTATCATGAGCACGCTGTGCCAGAAACATAGATGAAGACATGTGTGTCTTTCCACAATGTCAGACATGAAGACATGTGTGTCTTTCCACAATGTCAGAATTTGCTGAATAACAATAAATTCACAGGTTCAGGGGTTTTGATGGCAGTGATCTATCAGATAACCCATCTTCCCTGGTCATCTGGTCCAAAAGAATGCAGGTCCTTCATTCCAAATTTTTTAGAGAAGGGCATAGCCTATTCTCAACTTATATGAGAATGTTATAGGAGTGGGGTCAAGGGTATTGTGTCACCCAGGCTAGCCCTGAATTCCTGATCCTCCAGTCTCCCCATTCCAAGGTTGGGAATTACAGGCATGTGCCAATATGACCAAAATATATATTTTTAAGAACTTTATCTTTCTGTATGAAAATAGAAGTTTTTTTTTTAAAATAGGACCCAGATGTAAATAGTTTCAAAATTTTGCCCATGAACATATTTTATTAGGAAAGAATACATTCCCCAACAGAAGAGATGGCATGAACTTGGAATTCTAATCTAATTCTAACTCATGGATTTGCAGTGACTTGAGACAGAGTTCAGTGGTCATTGTTGTGACTCAAGAGTGTCATCTGAGGAGGGGACTTCTGGATGGAGTTCACAGAGGAGCCCTTCTCCATGTGGGCATGGCTCTCAACCAAGCTGGGCTTCACAACTATCTGGAGGCTATAAAAAATGGATGTTCCACCAAACCCCAGGTTCAGAAGCAATAGGTCTGATGGGAACTTCATGTTCCAGACTCTGATGTGTGGTCATGGTCAAAGGAAGAGAAGGATGGGGAATTGTGGGAGGAAATGTGGAAAATACCCCCTTTCTGCAGGGAACAGTCGATCGATCGCCTGGCTGTGTGAGCCAGATATCTCTCCACCTATCCCTCCTCCTCTCTGGGTCATGGGTTAGGAAAGTTGTTGGAAGCAGGGAACCATTGTTCACAAGTTAGCATTTCTCGAAATGCACTGTCCTCCCTCACACAGAATATTGAAGGAGGTAGCCAGTGATATGGTCCTTCCATTAGAGCAGCTAAAACATCAAAAGGGCCATGGATTCCTAAAGGCAGCAAGGAAAATGTTTAACACACACACACACACACACACACACACACACACACACACACCACTTTCAGTAGAACCACTAAATCCATGTTGCTTACTTTTGGAGCTACTGATATTTTGATACTTTGAGGCTGGGCTGAAGGGAGGGGTGTGTAGTAGCACCCTTGACTCTGTCCACTAGATGTCAGTATGGTTCATCTGCCACAGTATGATAACTGAAAGATGTCTCCTAGTATCTTGTCAGAGACCAAAATTGTTCCCTGTTGAGAGGTGCTGTCCATGTTATGCAGAGAAATCCTTGTTGGCACAGGGTTATGTTGGGGCCAGGAACTCACCAAGATTCAGACACTGCTTAGCATCTGGTGGGGCAGCCCAGCTGGCCTCTACACTAGAGTCTGGCATGGGAAGAACTCTGTGAGTTCTTATGCAATGAACAAGGGAATTCTTGGCTTCATCTAAGGAAATATGGGTTCCTTTGAGCCATCATGGGTGTCCTATGGAGGGTAGCTAGCAGGCCAAGCACAATCTGGGCACAAGACAAAAGGCAAACCGTTGCAAAAAAAAAGACCTGGGTGTCCCTTAGGACAGCCATGAACTCTGAACAGCAAGGAGGGACAGAGAGTGAGTGAGTCCTCAACTCCACAGATGGACCTTAGACTGCTGGGGCACTGCAGTGAGGCTCGGGTTAGGGGAGACCAAACCCAGAATGCTGTGGGCAAGGGTCTGGCTCCTCATTGATGGCCCCGTATTTGTGCTGCTGCAGCTGTGCCCCGTGATCCAGCAAGCCTTCAATGACGTGTACGATGACTTCCTGAGGCTGGCAACAGGTAGGGGCTCTGCTGTCTCCACTGTCTTTCCTTTATCTGCAGGCTTGGACTTCAGGTCCCACCTTTACCCAGGAGAGAACACCCTCTCTGTCCATCAAGCGCCTTGGGCCCAGCACCGGTGCACAAGCACTTGCTAAGCCCTGCCCAGATGCTGTAGCTTCAACTTCATGATCACCTTATATGTACAAGGCTCTAAGACAGTGGCTCTCAACCTAACTATGGCTGCAACCCTTTAATACAGTGCCTAGTGCTGCGGCGACCACCAACCCTGAAATTATCTCATTGCTACTTCATAACTGTAATTTTGCTGGTGTTGTGAATTGCACTGCAAATATCTGATGCAGGCTGTCTGATATGTGACCCTCCAAAGGCTGAGAAACACTTCTCCGTGTGAGCAGATACTCACGTAGAGCTGAGTTAAAGCCTACCTCTGCTTCTGTCTTGCTCCTTGATTTGGGGGAAGTCACTGTACCCTTTGTCCTCG